CCCAAGTTACATCTCTAGTCCTTTTTTACTATTTTATTTTGAGACGGGGTCTCTCTAAATCACTAAGTTGCTCAGGCGGAGCTCCGACTTGCAATCCTCCTGCCTCAGCTGCCCAGTGCTGGGACTACCCATTCTTGACAGGGAGCCCTTGGCTCAGGACTAGGAAGAGCAGCTGCATTCTTGGCTGACATCGGTAGGTTCTCCTTCACACAGCCTCCCTTCCTTCCTCCCTTTGTTGTGCTGCTAATAAAGGAGGCCTTGAACTTGTAGCTTGACAGGTAATCATTTGTTAACTGCTTGCAAAATTTTATTTTCAAACTGTTTTCCCAAATGTCACCTCCTTTGATGCATAGTATAACTCAGTGCTGCATTTGCAGAGGAGGAAGAGAAAGCCCCTAGGGTCTGAGGGACTGTGGGGCTGGGTAGAGCCACATGGCGCTGCCCGCCCCCAGCCGGCCTCCCCACTCGGGCTCATCCCACCCTGCCCACCTATGAACAGACAGCTTCAGGGGCAGGAAGCTCTGCTAGTTAGAGAGGCGCCTAGAACAACCTGAGTTCTGAGAGGCTAGTGAGCTCTCCTGTTATTGTTAAATTGATATTTTTCAATTAAAAATGCAGAAAACGGCTGGAGAACTAGCCAGACATATCAGCTATGGACATTTTGCCAGAAATCCGTCCGTACCCATCTTAGGAAAGCCTAGAGAAGCTGCTGGCTGTCTTCCTCCGCGTCCCTCCTCGTCTCCCTCCACCCCTGGTCGGAAGGGCACCTCCTCGCCTTGCATGCTGCTCTTCTCCTGCACCACCGCGCGACACCGCAACAGTCTGCGTGAAGGGCACTCCCCCACACACACCCGCTCGAGGCTCATCGCTGAGCCATTCCTTTGGCTTCTCTGACTTCTGGATGTCTCACACGCTGACGCAGGAGTGGCCTGGAAAGGTTGTGGAGAACGTCTAGGATGTCTGCGATTCCTGATGCAGAAAGCAATGGTTCCCCGCCCAGGTGGGTCCTCAGGGCTGACGACCTCCCAGGGCACATTGGATTTAAACCCAGCTTTTTTTTCTGTCTCTCCTAGGACTGGGGATCAAATCCAGGGCCTTCTCAGTGAATGACATCCTTAGCCCTTTTTAATTTTAATTTTGAGACAGGGTCTTACTAAGTGGCTAAGTTGCCCAAGCTGGGCTGGAACATACGATCCTCCTATCTCAATCTCCTAAGAGTGCTGGGATTATAGGCGCGAGCCACCACATCCAGCCAAACCGAGACACTTTATAAAAGGAAGCCAGGCCCAGGAGAGAGAATGATTTTCCTAATGTCACACTTTCAGAAATGGATGAAGCCAGAACCAACTTGGGACTTGAGATGTCTTTGCACTAACTGCATTGCTGTCATTCAATCTTACCTGGACCCAACAAGCTGCAGACCAGTGATTTATCTAGCCTTTGCTTACCCAGAGGATGTGCAGCAACCTGCAATGCAGATGCTCTGAGACCTAGGCAAACTATGTCAGATTTATGGGCCTCTGTCCCTGGGGGACAGCCACGATTTTAGGTTTAGGGAAAGAGCTGGTCAAAGAGCTGAAGATATTTGTCCCCAGGAGCACAGACTCCCCCTAGGAATGCCGGGAAAGGCCTGACTGGCCCGTCTTCAATGCTCCCTGCAAGCACCAGACCTGCAGAGGTGACTCACCCTGTCCAACAAGAGGCCTCCGCCCCACAGCCAGACACAAGGGCCCCCACTTGACCCTCCCTGCTACTACTCAAGGTCCCAAGTGAAGGCACAGTTCCTTGGGGTAGCCATGTGGGTCTGTCGTCTTCTAGGAGACCACAAGCAAGTTGGAAGGGTTGGCTCAGCAGTCAAGCACCAGTTCTATAATGACTGCCCTTGGCCCAAGAGTTCTTTCTAAACTACCTTAGAGGGTGGCCCTAAGGAAAAGAAAAACAGGCCAACATCTCTCCCTAGACAAAGCCAGCCTCCCACCACAGGTTTTTCAAAAATCATGGCCACTGACAGAGTTGCCACAAAAGCCAGCACCTGGAGGGACCAGCCACCCAAGCCCCAGGCCTCAGACTTACCTCCCAAACCACACACAGTTAACCTGCCCCCCAAACCACTGGGGCAGGCTGGCTGACCGAACCCCAGGCAGGCCATGGTCACTCCAGGCTCACCTGAAAGGACCCAGCAGGTGTCTGCTATAGTTTTTAACAAAAGTTTTGTAGTTTTCCACATAGAATTTGTACATTTGCTGAAATATATTTAAAATTCTTCATAATTTTGATACTGTTATAAATTAAAGCTTTTAAAGTGTTTTCTTTTTTAAAAAAAGTTTAAGGGGCCAGGGATTTAGCTCAGTGTTTCCGCCCCCTTCCTCCCAAGTGCAAGGTCCCGAGTTAGATCCCTGGTACGAAAACAAAACAAAACAAAAATAAATAGATAAAAACAAATAGCCATAAAATCATTGTTTATAGTAGACAAAAATGTGAACAAACTAAAATGTCAACTGCAGATATTGAAAACTGCAGAAAAAATTGTGTCATCATATTCATGAATATTTTTTAAAAGTCCCCCAAAAGAAAAAAATAAATAATTTTTTTAAGAAGTTGAAGAGCAGCCTCAGTATCTTTTTGCCCTGAGAGCCCTCAGGTGGCCAACTGGGTTACAGCTGCTGTAATTCACCATCTGAGACCCGGAGAAGGCAGTGGAAAGGTGCCGTTCCCAGCCCCTCTGGGGACTTGATCCCCCTTTGTTAACGCACCCCCTGCCCATGCTACAGGTCACAGTCACTTAGAACTGCACCCCTCATATAAGTGACTCCCAACTCAGACTGTTTCCTGAGTCACTAACTGGCGCTGTGGGAGCGCAAAATAAGAAGAAAACCTCTGCTATTCCCCCGCTGGGAGCCTTTCCAAAGGAGTTAAATGAATCACACCCCAGTGATACGTGCTCACCCATGTCTATAGCAGCACAGCTTGTAACAGCTAAAGCTTGGAAACAGCCCAACTGCCCATCAACTGGAGACTGGATAAAGAAGATGTGGGTTTGTTTTTTTTTTAACAAAATGGAGTACTACTCAGCCATAAAGAACAAGAAACTAGAGCCATTTATAGCTAAATGGATGCACATTGAGGCCATATTCTCTTTTTTTTCTCATCAAGTATTTATTAGTACTTTTTATGTGTACAGTACACTTACATTCATCATTGGGATCTTGTACCTTTACATGACAGGTCTTGGTTCTCATTTTTCCCCCTTGTCCCTGCCCTCCCTTCACCCCCTTAAGTGAAATAAATAGGACACAGGTGGGTAAATAGTTTCTCTAGTGTGAGAAACTAAAAATGTAAATAAGAATCAAAATGCATAATTGATAATGTGAAGTAGGAAGAAAAGGTCTAAAGGGCTAGGGGAAGTGGGAAGGGTAGGGGAAAAGAAAGAATGGAAAGGAAAAAATATGAGAAAAGGAAAAAATGGAAACAAAGTCTTTGTAATTAGGGGAGGGTGAAGGGGCTGAAGGGGAGAGGGCAGAGGAATGGGGAGAAAATAAGAACCGAGACACATCATACAAAGTACAAGATCCTAACGAATGTAACTGTACTGTTTGCCTAAAATGTGCCACCAAACTTAATGAAAAAAAAAAAAGAAGAAAATGTCATTCTTGTCCCCAAGGAATTGCATATTAACTGGGCAAGACAGAGTCACGGGGCAGAGCCTGGAGAGAAGTGTCCAAGAGGCAGGGGAGACAGAGGAAGAGGGAGCACCTGCTGCCACAGAGATCCTGGTGGCCGTGCTGGGACAGCAGCGCCTGAGTTCTCAGGAGAAATTTTGGAGGGCAGGGAGCCCCTGGAAGGGAGAGCAGGGAAATATCATGTCCTCCCTCTGTGTGCCCAACCCTCTGGGCTTCTTCACTCTTTCTCTCTGTCCCAACAGCAGCCCCAGTGACTGCCCCAGATGTCCACTGTCCTGGCAGAGGTGGGGCGGGTCCTTCCACCCTGCGGTGCCACAGGATTTGTTACCTGCAGGGCCCTGTGCCATGTGACATGGAGAATCAGTTCTTCAGCAGGAGCTGAAGCAGGAGCTGAGGGGACATGTGACAGCTGCCTTAGAGAACAGTCCCCAAAGGGAGACAGATGGGACCCAGGGGAACTCAGAGGAGGGGTGAGGCGCTCACTCTGGGGCCACAGAGGCAGGGAGAAGTCAGAAAGAGGGAGTGAACTCCAGCGGTGATGACATGGGAACCTGGACACGAAGTGTAGGGAGAAGCTGGAAACAGGCAGGAGGGCTTGGCGTGTGTTTAAAGATGCTTTTGGCCTCTTTCCTGAATCTTTGTCTTTAGTATGAGGCCTAAAGGTGATTTTTCTCAAGACACAGGGAGCTGTGGAGAATTAGGGAGCAGGAGAATGGCCCAGAGTAAGGTATCTCTGTGTAGATTCCCTGAGCAAACATTTCCTTCATGCTGTGGTTTCTATGGTCAGGCACTGGCTTCTGGGTACCGAGGTTCCGGAAAAAGCCTGTGTGTCCACTGGGACACTCACTGTGGACAGAGACCACCCTCCTGCCCACCAACTCACCTGGCCTTCAGACTTCCACTCCCCAGGGTGAGTGAGGAGCCAGTTCCTAGGAAGAGAGCTTGGACCAGGGGTTTTGGAAGAGAGGACACAGTGGGGCTGCCATAGCCCTGGCCCCCGCAAGGGATCCACAGGGAGGTTCAAAGGGGAGGGACTTCCTGAAAATGGATGAAACTCAGGGACTGACACCAGGTAAAGGCCAATACCATGTGGGTCTGCCCAATGGAATCCAGCACTGGGAGCCACCAAATTCATGAGTCTGAAAATGGAGCGCAGTGGCCACAAGACCAGGAAGGGAGCAGCTCCACATAGAATCACCTTGAAGCTGGTCATAGTGGTGCATGCCTGTAATCTTAACACATGGGAGGGAGGCTGAGGCAGGAGGAGGCCATAGTGAGCTACACAGTGAGTTCAAGACCAGCCTCAGCTAGATAGCAAGACCCTGTCAGCCAGGCTGACAGTTTGCATGGCAGAAAAAATCATTCCGAGTATGGAACCCCATTTTGCATGGGGCTGAACTGGGGCTCAAACTGGAAGGCTGCATCCCTAGACCCTCCCACAGCCTTGGACAACACTACAATCATCCACTGTGGTGCCCACAGGTCCTGTGGTGAGGGAGATGACCAGGGCTGATGAAAGGCGAGGAGCCGGGGTATCTGAGGGTTTCACACTATTCTGGTCAAGGGCTGGCATATGGCTCCCCTTGTGGACTCTGAAGACCCAGCTAAGGCTCCTGAGAAAAGGGAAAAGGGGCACATTCTGCGTTGGTCATTTTTGTCCTCCCTTGTAAAGTAGATGTATTACTTTCAGGATATGCTAGTGGTCTCCTCCACCGGTCTCAAAGAAAAGATGGCTCTGAGTGCAGGGCCTCGAGAGGACAGTGCAGTGGTCCCAAAGTTTGTGAGCAAGGCCAACAAAACCACTATTCAGTCTCCCAGCCTTCCTCATCTTCCGCCAGGCCCCAAGGGTCCCTCTGCCACCCCCCCACACACAGGCACCTAGGCCCAGGTGGCAGCCACTCAGGTGGCCAGGGGCCCACACTGCTCAGCCAATCAGAATCCTCCGGCAGTTGGTCCCTCCACACAGTCAGTTGAACGGAAGAGGAAGACGCCATCAGACTGCGCAGAGTCTCAGCCAGTCAGGACCATTTGGGCGTCCTGGGCCAGCAGGACTCCGCACTCAGCTGTCCTGGCCACACAGCCAGGAGCAGCTGGTGGAACAGGAGGGGTCACGATGGTGAGGAGTGGTCGGCAGGATCCCACACCAAGGGACACAGTGGGAGTGGCTCTGGCTCTGGGAGGACAGAGATGTGGCTGCTGGCAGAGGGATGGGGGCGTCACCTTGTAGCAGGTGAGAGGTGGCTCCGCATGGCAGGACCACGGCAGGACGACATCCCCCCCCCGGGCAGGCTGTGTCACAGGGCCGAACCCCTCCGTATCCCTGGCTCCCGAGAGTAGCTGGGGACGGACTGGGGTGGGCAGCCTGGTGGAGGAGCCCTGGGAAGGGCCAGGGACAGATCCTGGGCTCTGTGCAGTCTGGTAGGGAGAAGAGGGCTCCTGGCCCCAGAGGAGGAGGATGGAGCTCACCACCTAAACCCCGGCTTGGGTTCTTACCAAGTTCCTGTGCCAGCACCTCTGCAGGTGCCACAGTAGCCACGTCCCGGGAAGGAGGGAGCTGGTGCTGAGGTCCCTCCAGCCTTGGGGCACAGAACACACAGGGCACAGGCAGACGGACAGACAGATGGACACAGAGCGCCCCCGTGCGGATGCGCCCTGTCTCCCTGCACCAGGCAGCAGCGGGGAGGGCAGGTCCAGGGCAGCGAAGCCAGGGCAGGGTCTGGTCCCACTCAGGAAGTGAGCTCCCGGCCACGCACCACCCACAGTGCTGTCCGGACACCGCCCACGTCACGAGCTTGGGGGCTGGGCCACGGGGCTGAGAACAGGCCCTGCATCGCCTCAGGGAAGGGCCAAGCCCCCAGAGCACACACCGGGGGAGGGGAGACCAGAGCGGCAGGAGGGGCCCCCACTCGAAATGGGGCTCCGACCACCTCCTCCAGAGCGCAGCGCACACCTGAAGTCAGAAACACCGCCAGCACGGAGCAGGGCTCGTCTCGCCTCGTGGCTGGGCTGCGCGGGAGTCCGGTCTTGTTCCTCTTTTCTTGTAGGGCCAGCCCGGCGGCCTTTGCACTGGCGACACACGGCAGCCACCTCCCCCCTCTGGGGCTGCTGCCCTGAGTGGGGCCAGCGGAGTGGCTGACTCGTGCCCTGCGATGAGGACCAGGACTCCCTCGCCTTCCTCAGCGCCTCTCAACCAGCTCAGGCGAGAAGCGAGGTCCAAATCCAGCCAGGCTGCAGAAGGACCGTGGCCACCCAGAAAGCCAGACACAGCCACCCAGAGGCGCTGGGGGACACCTCCCTCCCAGGTCCAGATGGGCAACGGAGGCTGGGCGGGGCCAAGCACCCCTGACAGCACCTGGTGGGAACCACTCGGGGCCGCGGGGGGGGCACAGCTCCCGCCCACCTCCCTGGGCTTGGCCATGCAGTGTGAGCACAGGAAGATGGTCCCTGGCTTCCTGTCCCTCAAGGGCTCGGATTGAGAGAAGTCGAATACCTGCTTACTGATTGGTTGCCATCATTTCTTCTGATCGTCCTTCGTTGGAAAAACAAAGCTAAGTCCCTGCAAGCCTAGGGCAGTGAGCCCTCAGAGCCCAGCTGAGCCGGCTGACTGCTGTCCAAGGGCTGGCACTCATGGGACTCCTGTCCAGCCTGGGACAGGAGAGAGGGGGCTGGCCTCGTCCTGCCCTCTTCTCCTCTACCTCATCCTTCTTCAACCTCTAGTTTGGGGGAGAAAAGCAGACCATGAGATGAACACAGCCCCCAGCTGTCCCCGCTGTCCGTGTCCAGCCAGGCTGCGCTGCAGGATGCGGAGGGCCTGAGGAGGTTGCTCACAGCAGCAACCCTGGGCCTGTGGGTTCCGGCCTCTCCCTGGGGAGCCTTGGGAGCCTCTGCGCCCCCCGGAGAGGACACGGACCATGCTCTCCCACACCCCAGGCCTCCCAGAGCCTCTGCCCAGCGGCCCCTGCCCGGCTGCTCCTGTGTCAGGCAGAGCCAGGCCGGACTCCGGGGGAATCGGTGACCTGACACAGCCCACAGCTCTGCTGGTGCCCGCCCTCCTCTCACCAGTGAGAACCTCGTCTTCCTGAGCAGTGAGGCTGAGGGCCAGGCTGAGACCGGCCAGGAAAGCTAGGGAAAGCCCAGCCAGACCCGCAGTGCTGCGTCAAGGGCTCCCTCTGAGGCCTCCTGGGCCGGCCAAGGTTGTGAGGCTCTTTGTACTTTTGCTCCCCCTTCAAGCTGCCGTGAGCCCCATCCACAGACGCACAGACAGACGTCCTGGGTTTGGTGCGTGAGTGTCCTGTGGGGCGACCCCCAGCCCTGGGCCCCTCAGGGCCGCCCCTCTGGACAGAGCCACTAGCAGACAGCAAGCAAGGGAGAGCCCGGGCCCCGCAGTCCTTGTCCGCCCCCCGCCTCTGTGGTGTGGGGCCAGTGAGGCGAAGGTCAGGCATTTCCTTCAGCGGCCACCTCCTGGCTCTGTGTTCATCCCCTGCACACGCTGAGATCAGAGTCCCTTTGATCTGGCTGGGGCTCCGATGCCAAGCGCCAGTCACTTGGGAAGTCTGGTGTGGGCTTTCACCTTGTTCTCGCTGACAGAGAATGCGAGATCGGCTGTGTCACTTCACCCTGGAGTTGTGAGCCAGCTGCGATCCCTCGCAGATGAAGGGAGGCCTTCTTCAAGGCCAGCGCAAGTGTTGGCCGCTCTGTCGCGAGAAGGCAGCGGGCGGGGCCCTTGGCCAGTTCCAGGACTTGGCCCCTCAGGTGGGTTTGGGTTTGAAGACCTCTCTGTGGAAGGACTTCATGACCCGACCCTTCTAGAGGTGGCATCGTGGGCTGTGGGCTTTGTGCTGTTTCTTTGTGAGTATTTGTGGACCACGGGTTTCATTTATCCCTCATCTATGACTGGGTTATCGGGAGTCTCCCGAGCATACGGTTCAGCTTTTTCCGATGGAGTCTGTGTTCCCCGTCACACTCCGGGGTTTCCTTTCTGGACCATCTTCTGGTGCTTTCACAGGCGTCGCCTGGGTTCTACCTTCTCTGTGTCACTGGATCAGTGAGCTCATCCTTTGGAGTTGGATTTGCTCCTTCTGCTTTAGTCGGTATATTCTCATATTCCTCATATTTGACTCATTGTCTTCTCTTCATGCGGAGGCTGCCAGACAAAGAATGGCAGTCCGTGTGGGCTCTCGGGGTCCTGCAGCGACTCTGGGGCGTCTGTGCATCTCAGGTGGTACGGCCCTCAGTTCCTAGGTTCTGAAGAACACTGCCCTGTTCTCCTCGTCTGCAGAAGTCTCCTCGCACTTTGCTTAGATAATATTTATGCCATTTCTCCTCTCGACCCCCAGCTGTCTTCTGGTTGTTGGTCTCCTGGTTTCCTGAGGGATCTGATTGAGTAGTGGGCCCACTCTCTGCTCTCCGCAGTCTGCCCAGTGTGGGCCTGGCAAGCAAGCTTCTCTCCACTCTGCGCGGGTGGCGGGCCGTGTCTGACTGGGTGTCTGTAGGCTCTGTGACACTTTCATACTGTTTTTTTAGTCACAAGCATCTCTGGTGACTTGGGGGAGAACCAGCTGGCATTGTTCCCTGCCTCCTTGTAGCTCCAGTGTCCCTCTTGGTTCAACCTTGTCCACCTCTTACCAGAGATATCTGGCTATCTTTCTGCAAACTTGCTGGAACTCAGAGAAGGTGGTCTTCTCAGGATCACACGGAGTGGGTAGTGTTGTAAGCCCTTGGAACTGGGGCTGAGCCATACAGCAGATTCCCAGGGACTCCTCGCTCATCTCAGAGTCCCAAGGCCCTGGGCTGGTCTGGGCCTGAGAAGGGCTGACTGACCTGCTGAGCCCCAGCCAGAGCACCGGGCCTCCAGTTTCCATGGCGATGGTAAATCACCTCCCCTGCAGGTCTCCCACTAGTGCCTGTCTCTTCTCACCCTCTAGACAGAGGCACCCAAAGGGACATGGGGCCCAAAGGGAGATATCTGGCTCTAGGAGTGGCCTTGGATCCAGACAGGGCCTGGGGACTCTGAGGTCAGGGGCTTCAGACCTGGGTGGGTTGTGCAGCAACGGCTGGGGGGAGATGAGCAGAGTCCAAGTTGAGGTCAGTGAGACAAGAGCAGGGCTGGGAGGATCCTGATGCTCATGTGGGCCCAGCAGGCAGAGCTGGGATGGGGCGGGGGGAGCTGGGTGCTAGGAGTCTGAGCACAGTGCAGAGACCAGGTGCTGCAAGTGTTTGATCCGAGGCCCTGAGACTCTCTCAGGGTCAGTGCGCATGACACACATTGGTTAGAGCTAGGAACAGGTGCGTAAAGAAATCTTTTCTGTAAATCCAATTAAATGGTCACACACCTTTAAGAGCCAACTACCTCCACCTGGCTCACCGGACAGCAACTCCCTTTTCTGTACTGTCTGCTGTCAGACCACAGTTTTGTGATTTAGTTCCTTTTAAATCTTTGTCTCATTCTTACTCCTCCTGATCATTCTTTTGTCATGTATGTCTCTGCGCTTGCCTCAGATTAGAGGTGATTGGTTCAGTAACTCATAATTTGAATGAAAATATTTGTTCATATTTATCATTTGCCTCATGGTATTATTTCTCTTTCTTCTTTTGCCATTCATTTGGTTTTCCTTCTCCTGTCATGCCCTCTGGCTTCAGCATGTTCTGGGCCAAGGGCTCATCTTTCTTGTTGACTAATAACTCACCAAGATGAGTAAAGCTGTATGAAGCTTTTATAGAAGGCTTGTGTATCCTAGGCTCTGATATACTTTATTGTGATTCAACTTTTCGCGTGTTATTTTGCCCATCTGAAAGAAAACACAATGTATATGAGAGGCTTCATTCCTACGTGTGTGAGTTTTCTGTTACTATAACAAATACCTGAGATAAATCAATTGTAAAAGAGGAAGATTTCTCTCAGCTCACAGTTCTGGAGGTTTCAGAGCAGGATCGAGTGACCTCATGGCTTCTGGACCTGCAGGAAGTGAATCAGAGCAAAATTGCTCATCTCTTGTAACTGGGAAGCAAAATGAAATGAGAAAGGGCTGAATCCCCATCTTCTCCTTTGATAGCACAGCCCCAGTGACCTCTCTTCTGCTAAGTCTGCCCCTTAAAGGTTCTACCACCTCCTGACAGAGCCAAGCTGAGGATCAAGGCTTTAACACATGAGCCCTTAAGGGATGTTCAAGATCAAAACTGTAACAGTATATAAACTCTAGTGAGTGCTAGTAAGACAAAGAACAGTGCTTCATAAAGCACAACCATTATTTGTGAGGGGCTCTGTGTGTTCCCAAACATTTCCCTCTTTCACATCTGCTCACTTGCTTCTCTTCATCAGTTTCACTACATTCTCTGTATGTTAAGTCATTAATGACTTCTATAAACCCTTGAGTATTACATGCAAACGACTCAGTATGTTTGTTTTATATGACCGTTGCTCAATAAACTACCAAACCATCCCACAACTCTGCGGGCTGTCACAATAAACATTTACCTCAGGGCTATGTGAGTAGGGGTGGGTGGGACTCTGCCCACCTTGGACCCAGGATCCAGGCTGTGTCTAACTCTGCACAGACGCAAGACCAAACAAGCAAGCACATTTTAGCTTTCTTTTCTGTTACATCCACAAATCATACTGGCTAAAGTAAGTCATACGACATAGCCAAAGTCAAAAGTAGAGTCCCAGATTACGTTGGCCGTGGTTCCATGCTGAGTATATAGCTTATTTTCACTGATGTACATGGTCTTTTACTGTAATACTTTGCATTTCATAAATATTTTGTATATTGTAAATGTTTTCCATTATTAATAAACATTTGAGTGCTTTCTAGGTTTTACTGATGAGGATTATGCTGTTTTGAATAACCTTGCAGATTTGTTCTGCAGTAAGAATGCAAAAATTGCTATAGATTATGCAAATTGTTAGCATAGCATGATCATCCAAAATTTGGAAGTGAAGTTGAAAACTGATTTGTGTAACATTTAAATATTCTAAGAGAAGGGTAATAAGGGAAAATATTCTAAGAGTAATTTTATTAAGTATATTTGAAGGCCATCTGACTCTTACAGAATGAATTTTTATTGCCTTATTATTTTTAGTCTGTTAAGGCCCCTATCTTTATAATTGTCTAATGTTGAAGGTTAACTTATACAAAACTTAGTTAAGTGTGCTGATTATTTTTTTAAATCACTAAAAGAAATAACACCATGGTTATTCTATAATAACCTGTGGGAAAATAACCAGTTTTGTATCAAATTTACTTCAGCATTTTTTTCCTACAGATTATATACATGGTTCTTATGCCCTCATTGAATTAATTCTGTATATATGCTGCTACCTTCATTAACAAGTTTAAAATATTAACAAGTTTAAAACTGCAGCTCTCAGGAGGCTGAGGCAGGAGGATCATAAATTCAAGGCGAGCCTTGACTACATAAGACTGTTTCAAACAAGGAAGCTACTGCTAAAAATACACTTAAAAAGCAGTGTGGAACTTCATCTTGGCTGCTTAAAAATGGCATAAAGAAAACTTTGGATGAATATAAAAATGTTTATAATCATAGACTATATCATTCTTAGCTCCTCGCTGATGACTCCCAAATTTCTATCTCCAGCTCTGCCACGAACTCACTTGCTCCCTGGATTAATTCAGTCAGTTGTCTGCTAGAGATCTCCATGTCTTTGTCCAGCAGGGCTCTCACGTTTCTTCAGCTTATCATTCCTCAGGTTACAGGATATCAATGAACATCAGTTTTCCCACATGTTGGCCCCGGGATTTAGCTCAGTGTCACGGTGCCCGCCTTGCAAGCACAAGGTCCTGAGTTCAATCCCAGCACCTCCCCACACACAGCCATATGTTGTGGCTTGTGTCTAGATGTCCCCCAGAAGCTCAGGCTCTCTCTCACAGGTGGGCACTTCTCAGCTGTGGTGGC